ATTTTTTCTTAAGAACAAATAAAATTTTAATATTGAATAATATTTGCTATATTTTTGAATAAATTTGATAGTAAAGTTAAACCCAAGCATTAACTTTAATTTTAATAAACTTAAATAAATTTTTTGAATCAAAATTAAATTATATATTTTTAAAATCTAAATTAAATTATATATATATTTTTCATAATAATATTATATATTATTATTGAATTAGTCTTAAATTAAATCATATATTTTTTATAATTAAATCATGTTTTTATGATCTTTGCTAAAAGCTTAAAAAATAATAATTACAATGAAATAAAAACAAAATAAAAATTAAGTTTTAATTTTATTTGAGTTTTTCCCATTAGTAAATAGCACTTAAATCAAACATAGTCATTCAAACTTTTGTAAAGAAATAATTACTTCTTTAATCTTACCACTTATTGAATAATTTAAATATATAATAAATAAATAAGTTAAAAAATGATAAAAGTTGCTTAACCAAAATCACTTACTGCTTACATAAAATCACTTAAGGTGTACGTAAATCATTCTACATGTAATGCTTTAAAACAAGGCCTGATATATATATATATATATATATATATATATATATATATATATATATATATATATATATGTGTGTGTATGTATGTATTTATGTATATATATATATATATATATATATATATATATATATATATATATATATATATATATATATATATATATATATATATATATAGTGCTTTTTTTTAAAAAAAGGTGCCAGAACTCACCTGTTTCTTTCTTTTTATGTCAAAAATGAAGCAAAAATCAGCGATTAAATTTGTAAACAAAGTTTACAATATGTATAGCTGTTGGTGGGCTCCCCACCAGGCTTGGCCAGAACCTTTAACCTTTTTAAAGTTGTACAATTTCAAGTCTTTATATTACCATGCAAACAATATTTTGTTTTGATGATTTAACCAGAGTCTTTAATAAAAGTGCTAAAAAAATTTGTTTTTAATTATGTTGAAAATAAATAACTTTGACACGTTTATCTTTACTAACGCTTTTATATTAGCAAAACACTTTTAAATAAAGTAGCTAATGATTTTAATTTAAAAATCATTGAAAGTTAATTAATTTAAATTAGTTGAATAATTTTTTATTTATATTATTTAATTATGTATGATTTTTTTATAAAATAAAATGAAAAAAGTAAGAGTTTAAAAAAAAAACTAAATTTTATAAGTGACAACTTTAAATAGCAAATGTCTCTTTAATAAACTTCATATAAGAACCATTAAAGTTTTTGTTGAGAAGAAAAAAAAAGAAACTAATATATGTACTTTAAAAGATTTTTTACCTTTATGTAGGTTTTCAATAGAAGACAAAAACTTTTTCGAAACCCATTTGAATTAAACAACTTTGATCTTACTTACGTTTTTAAATTATTGAAACGCTTTTAAATAAAGTAACAAATCACTGCTAATGATTTTTTATAAAAATATTAATGAATAATATATATATTTTTTTATTTATATAAGTATTTATTTTTTATTATAAACATCTTTAAATCTAAAAAAATTATACTAATTTTTAAATAAATGATTTAATTATTTTTTTTAAGTGCAAAGAATTGTTAAGAATCTTTTTTTAAACTTTAAATTGTGCGCATTTATTAAACAATTGTCAATTGTAAGTTGTTACTTTATTTAAAAAGCGTTTCGCATAATATTATATTATAAAAACATTAGTAAAGATAAACGACTCAAAGTTATTTATTCCAAATGTAATTTAGATAATCTTACCGTTATAGTTTATTATTTATTTTAGTTAAGTTTTACTTTTATTTCATTTAGTTTCTTACCATTATAGTTTATTATTTATTTTAGTTAAGTTTTAATTTTATTTCATTTAATTTTATTTTGTTTAGTTTATTCATTTTAGTTAAGTTATTTTTACTTTGTTTGTCGTTTTTTTTTTCACCAAGATTTATTTACTTTTACAATAAGTTTTTTTTTTAATTTAAGATAATTTTTTTAGCGCGTTATTAAAACGCATTCAAATTTTCAAAACATTTTAACAGCCGTGGTCAAGTTAAGTAAAATCAAATTGTATTTGCGCGGTCATATAATGATGTGAAATCACACACTTGGCCAAGCCTGCTCCATATCATACCTAATAATGGGAGAACAATTATAAGAAAAACCTTTCCGATGTAAGAAGTTTTTTTTTATTTTTTTCAAATAATGACAGCTGTTTGTTTTTTGTTTTGGCTTGTTTGTTTTTTTAGGAGGAGGGGGTAGAAGGTTCACATCACTGTATGTAAGATACAAACTATATCAAACTATAAACTTCTATAAATAAATCCCAGAGTTTTTATCAAACTTCTTAATTATTATTCCATAAAGGTTTTCGTTTAAGTATTGAACTGTTTTACGTTTGTTTTTGTTTTTGTTTTGTTTTTTTATTTTCTTATTATGGTGTTTACTTAAAGTTAGTACTTGTACTATACATAAATAGTCCATGAAATGCAAAATCTATTTCAGAATACATTTGATTTGATTTTGATTTTTTTTTCTTTCGATTTTTTCTTATTTTCATCTTGTCTCCTTTCTTTGCTCTTTATGTGCACTAAATAACCACAAATCCATATACTTTGAAAGATTGAAGCTTTTAAGTAGTGGTCCCACTAATTTGATGAATAACAACATTGAAACTGTTTTTGTCATTAATGAAGCCTTTGCTGGTGCGATGATCAGATTAATCTGTGAAAATCTTTGATCACTTGACAAAATATGAATAGTAAGAAGAGTGTGTATCCTTATTAAAAGATTTCTTATTTTAGTATCTCTAAATTTTACCTAATTGTATTGTAATATTTTCTGGCCATTGTTTTTGGTCTAAAATGCAAGCTCATTGTGCTATTGCAACATCTTTGTCAGCAAGTAACCTTTTCTTAATTGACTTTTTTAATTTTATGTAAAAGTCATTTGGATCAACAGCCAAATCATTTTTGGAATTTTTATTGTGGAATAAAACTCTATAAAAACTGAGTTTCTGTGCAGACATTGATATATATTGTAATATGAGTGATATTAGTCAGTATTTATTTGAATATCGAATCCTTGAGAGTGTATGATGAGATAAATCTGACCAATGCAAGAAGTTATATATAATATATAAAAAATATATAACTCAGCAAATAAGTACTTTGCTTGATCTGAAGCCTGCTGTCATTTAGTGAAATCAACAGCGAAATGCTCCAAAACATCCATGCTTGAAGTTTCTGACAACTTACATCTTTTGTATTATATATAATAGGGATGTGACTTTTTGGTAACTCCAGTCTCCAATATAAAAAACAGATGAACTTTGGTTTGATAGTAACTGAACAGTCATTAGTTTTATTTAATTTTTGAAAAAGGTCACCCACGATGACCCTTGATTACAAATTGGCTCCCATATATCAGTGAATTTTTTTTCCTTCAAAAGTATATTAACCTGTGTCTTAAAAGAACCAGAATTTCATAGAGATTTCAGAAATAATAATGGTTTCAAATAAAAATAAATTGCTTAAATTTTATATACAAAAAACAACAACTTTTAACTGAAAATTGAAAAAGTAGTTATTTATGACATTTTGTTGGCAATTTTTTTTTTTTAAATGTTTCAATAGAAAAGATTATGAATTTTGAAATCACTATAAAATTCTGGGTTTTTTGAGATCCAGGTTGATATACTTTTGAAGAAAAAAAATTAATTGATATATGTGTGTAATTAAGGGTCATGATGGGTGACCTTTTTCAAAAATTAAATAAAACCAATGACTTTTCAACTACTTTCCAACCAAAGTTCATCTATTTTTTACATTGGAAACTTGGGATACCAAAATTTACCAAAAAGTCACATCCCTACTGTATAATTTTAACTTCTATCCCGCCCGTGTACCTAAAATTTTCAAATTCAAGTGTTAAAATTGTAACAACTATGGTTAAAATTTGAAAAAAAAAAATCATAGAGTTAAATTTAAAGTTTATACTATTTATTAAAATATTTTTATTTGCCGATTCCAATAAATTTTAAAAACTGAATGTTAAGAAACATGCTTTAATGAAAAATTCTTTTAAATAAAATACAGGGTGGCCAGGCGTTTTTTTTTTTAATTTCATTTTCCTTGACTTTTTCCTGACTTACCATTGTAAACCAGTGTAAAAATAGCAATAAAGAGGCAATAAATAAAACTTACCCAACTTTACACAAATAATAGAAGTTTTTTAAAAACTGGTTACTTTAAATAAATTTAAACTTTTAAACAAAAAAATAAAACAAAACAATGTATGAAATAAAAAAATTAGGCTGAAAAATCATGTCTACACAAATGTTACTATGTTTTAATGAGAATTAGCAAGACTAATTATCATCTATGGTAGATGATAAAAGGCATATTTCAGCATTAATAGCAACCGATTCCCTTTTAACTTAATGAGTAATAATTTTTATCAAGTAAAATGATTTATCCCTTACCTCACCTTACTTGATGAGTTGTAAAATTTATAACTCATCAAATTACTTGATGAGTAGAGAGGTGCTAAAAACAATTTATTTTGAAAATGTCTACTGAAACCCCTAAATGTGTTTTATATAATAAAATAATAATAAATTTTAAAAATTTTTGAACAAAAAACATTTTTAAGGGTGCCACAAGACCCTTAAACATCAAACACGTATTCTAATATTATCAAAAAAAAAAGTTGTCATATTGTCATATTGTGTCTCAAATGAAGCCAAATTATATAAAATTTTCAAAAATATGAATCATTTTTTTAGTTCAAAATTTTTCAATCAAGTATTATTTTATTATATAAAACACATTTAGGGGGAGTCAGCAGACATTTTCAAAAGAAATTGTATTTAGCACTACCCTATTGATGAGTTATAATTTTTTGTACATTTTGCATTGATTTAAACTTTTTCATTCTCCCCTAATTTCTAACACTTTTGTATACATGGTTTTTTTAATATACCTGAATCTGAATACCAAGAACCAGCATGTGATGCTCTTCTAAATGACATTTGCGATATATATTATTCTAAATTTTACATATATATATATATATATATATATATATATATATATATATATATATATATATATATATATATATGTATATATCATATATGTATATGTATATATCATATATGTATTTATTTATATATATATACATATATATATATATATATATATATATATATATATATATATATATATATATATATATATATATATATATATATATATATATATATATATATATATATATATATATATATATGTATATATCATATATGTATTTATTTATATATATATATATATATATTATATATGTATATATATATATATATATTATTAATATATATTATATATATATATATATATATATATATATATATATATATATATATATATAAATGTATATGTATATATGTTATAATACTTATATATATATATATATATATATATATATATATATATATATATATATATATATATATATATATAAGTATTATAACATATATACATATACATTTATTTATTTATATATATATATATATATATATATATATATATATATATATATATATATATATATATATATAATATATATATTAATAATATATATATATACATATATAATATATATATATATATATATATATATATATATATATATATTATATATATAAATAAATACATATATGATATATACATATACATATATATAAGTATATATATATCTATATATATATATATATATATATATATATATATATATATATATATATATATATATATATATATATATATATGTGTGTGTGTGTATACATATATGTATACATATATATATATATATATATATATATATATATATATATATATATATATATATATATATATATATATATGTGTGTGTATACATATATGTATACATATATATATATATATATATATATATATATATATATATATATATATATATATATATATATATATATATATATATATATATATATATATATATATATAGATATATATAAATATATAAACGTATATGTATATATGTTATTATTATATATGCGAAGGCCATGTGAAGGGGTTGGGTTTAAAGGAAGTAGTTTAAACCCACAGTTTTTTTTAAGTTAAAGATAATTTAAAAAACTAACTTAGACTCTAAGTTACTTTTTTAACTATGTCAAATTGTCCCTCTAAGTTAGAGGGACAATTTGACATATTCTATATAAAAGCTCCTTAATGCAGAAAAGGATTGAAATAAGGTGATATATCTATAAAAAAAATTGATTTGAATTATGAAAATGGAACTACTTTATTTGAAAAATTTTATTTTAAAAATAGTCGTCTTGCATTCATATTCAGGACGCTTATATTTTTTCACGTCCTTTTACGTTTGAATTAAATAATAAGGCAGATTTTTTTTTCCTTTTTAACTTTAGGTTATGTTACGCTAGGCTAATTTACGTATTCTACCGCTTATGACTTTAAACAAATAATTTGTGGAGTTCGTAAACATCAATAATAATATAAATCAGTTGAAAATATTTGGAATGTTATACATAAAATATTCATAGACTTATACAAAATATTATACATTAAAAATCATGCATTATAATTAAAACTCTTGGTGTTACACATTAAGATTTTTAATAATGCCTAAAAAGAAACGAATTTTCGGTAAGAACAGTATAAAAGATGAAAAACCACGCAAAAAACTTAAAAGTGATCCTGATTTGAGAGCGAATAACACGATTGATTATTATAAATTGATAAATTACGAATTAAAAAGAAAAATTGGTGATTATCTTCCTCGAAAAATTTTTAACTACAAACTATTTTCTTCCATAAAACCTGCTGAAAAAGTATCATGCTGCACTAATGAAGGATCATATGGAAGTGAAGCAATTTACAACATAGAATTTTCAAAAGATAATAAAATATTAATCGCAGCTGGTGCTAAATCTGAAATAAGTTTGTTTGACCCATTAAGTTACCAAAAAATAAATTCTGTAGATTCTAAACACACGGATGGTGTAAATTGCCTAACGTTTTTAGATTCAAGGTTGTTTACAACATCCTCTGATGATCAGACTATTGCAATATGGGACATACGCAATCTTTCATCTCGCGTTTCTACTTTAACTGGTCACACTGGTTGGGTTAAAGATGTTTCATACATGCCACAATCAAATTGTTTAATTTCTTCAGCTTTTGATGACACAGTTAGAGTATGGAATATAAATGACTTCGAAAAAGATGGTTGTGTTAAAAGTGAACAAGTATTAGATATTAAATACCTTACAAGGACAAAGTTATCTCAAGACTGTTCAAAACTTGTTGCCGCAACTACGTCAGGTCATTTCTTTGTTATAGATAACATTGACTTAGAGTTTTTAAAAATTGATGCAAACTGTGAACTTCAAAAGTTTCTATATGAATCCCCTAATATTCCCAAAATGACCAAATCAAGAAAAAGAAATAGAATAGAGTTTATAATAGATTTTCCATTAAATAGTAATCCATGGTGTATCACATCTGTAAAAACACATCCAAATAGCAAAAGTGTAATATCAAGATATTCAAGTGAGGTTGATCATTCAGAATGGACAGTTGTTCATGATATTGAAGAAAATTTTGAAAATGGTATAAAATTTTATTCAATAGTTTATTTCAAGTTAATTTGTGTTTGACTTGAAAATTAGATTCAAGAAAATTATGTGATTTTAGACATTATTTAAAAATAATTTAGAAATAATATATTGATCTGCAAAATATATCAACAACAAATAAATAAAAAATTATTAACTTAATTTATTGTTGTTCTACTGTCAAATAGTTTTATAGATTTACTTTTAGTATGGTTTTATGTAATGTTCATAAAAATTTACAAGTTTTTCAACCATTACAATATTTAAACCTTCAGCCAATGCATACATGCATATGTATATTCTACAGTTCTGCAGACTGTAGCACTATCTGTAAAGGATAAATTGTTTTAAAAAAAGTTGAAAATTAACAAATCAAGGCAACTCTGTTGCTATGTGCATATTAAACATGCGTTTATATACTTTTAACTGTATGTTTATAATAAAAAAAGTTTGTGTATTTAGCATAAACATGAGTATGTTTATGCTTAACATGAGTATAAGTACGCTTATATTTAATAAGACTTTTTTTCAAAAAATTGCAGTGATTAAAGACTGAGAAAAAAAAGTCTAAAAGTTTGTCCGCTTCTTTAATTCTTCTTTAAATTTATATTTATAAGAATTTTTCTATAATTTTTATAAATTTGAATTTAGTTAAAAAAAGTAATTATTGTAAAAGTCAGTAACTTATTGCACTATCACGGGAGAAGTGGTGGGAGAAGGCAGAGGTTTTTGGATATTTTTGATGCACTAAAGTATTTTCATTTGATATTAGTATTTTAATCACTAAAATGTTGCCATAATCCCTAGGCTTCTGTTTAGGTTCTTGGTTAGGTTTAGGTTAAGGCTTATGGTTCTTGCTTATTAATGAAAAAAAAAACTGTCATTAAAATTAATAATGTTAATAATTAAATACTATAAATATAAATAAAATTATTAATAAGTTTAATTTTTTTTTAATACAAAATATTTCAAATATTTGTTAAATATTTGCAATATTTTTATTAGAGTTTTTTACAAGTTTTTTCTATATTTTATGTTTACTATTGTATTTTAATGATTTTAACCTTTTATAAATTTATTTGTACTTAGGTTATTTTTCTTCTGGCACTTTTGAGCTGTGAAACCAGCTGTTAAAAAAACAATTTCTCTATATTTACACTGTTAATATAATCTATTTTGATTTGGTCATTTACACTGCTAATATACTCTATTTTGATTTGGTCATTTCTGCAATACTCAAATAATATTTTTTTGTTTCGTGTTAAAATTGTTATTTCGTGTTAAATTTATTATGTTTCTGGTGTGTAAATTAATTAGAGCATTAGAGTTGAACAAAAAATGTAACTACCTTTTTATTAATTTATCCCGTTTTAGAATAACAGCATTTCAAAGAGATTTTTTTTATATCCAATTTTTATTTTTTAATCAATCAAAATTAAAAAATATCTGATGGTCTTTTTTAGACGACTTCTTGCAACAAATTTCTGAGGTTTTTTTTTATCCATTTTTTAAAAAGAAGTCACTAATTTTGAGGCAGTACCTTTTGAAATGCCAAGTAATCGGGCAGTTTGTGTTAGAGTAGTGCTGCCATACAAGCACCAACAATTTGGGCTTATTGAAAGTTTGAGAGCTTTTTTATAAATAATAACCAACCTTTGTTTAAATATCTGTAAAAAACAATTATTTTATTTAAATGTATCAAATAAGAAAAATTATAAACTAAAAAAAAATTAACATCAATGTAAAGTTTTGATTACTTAAAACATGTTTAAAGGTTATGATGCCAAAATGTTGTTTAAATAAAATAGATGTTTCCATAATTTTGTCCAATCTCTTTATTGTCCTAAATTTGTTTTCCTAACGAATTTTTATAAACACAATAGGTTTATTTTTTTTTATTAAATATCTTTGAAATCTTTTTTCTGTTACTTCAATGCAATGACATCAAAAATGTCAAATGCATAAGAGTATTTTATTAAAATATAAATATTTTTAGAAAACAAAGCATACGTATTTAAACTTTTTCTTCGAATAATAAAAGGATTAGATGAATGACTTTCTACTTTCTACTTTGTATTATTTATAAATTCTTAATTATTTTTAGAAACAAATTCAAATCGTTTAAAATACTTTATATCAGAACCAAGTGCTGCTCCAGGTTACATCAAAGAATTAAGTTTTAATGAGGATGGAAGCTTAATTTGTTCGCCATTTGGTAATAGCATTAGGTTTCTTGCTTTCAATAAAAAATGTGATAGTGAACCTATTGATGGAAACAAACCATGTTGTTTGGAAGAAATTAATTTTGTCACATTTCATAACTTTCCAGTGCTAACGGCAAGATTTGCTTTTGGGCTACCATTAGTTGCATCTGGTTGCTTGGGCGGCCATGTGTGTTTTTATCAAACGCGATTTTAGATTATATATATTTCCTGTAATTATAGGCTTGATTTTTTTATTATTATTACATAACGAAATCTTGTAAGTTAATAAGTAAATTATGTTATTTTAATAAACACATACAAATATATAGGGTAAACCATCCGGTGGTCGACTGTCCCTCTAGTCGTCGACGTTTTGTCACTAAAAAATATGCTAAATTAACACTAACTAAAGTAGTGCCGAAGTAGTGTCTGAAATGAGCGCCTATCTTTTCTTTTTATATGGAGGAAGTTTGGCTGTCGTAAACATAAAAATAAACATGCGATGATTTGGATCAAAAAAGTTCCGTAAATACCCTTAACTCTGAGGAATAATTGTGTTCCATTATCCCAAGTAACACAAAACGTTCAACGAACGTTGTAAACGTTAAAGAACGTTCTATGAACGTTCATAGAACGTGCTCGAACGTTCGCAACGTTTTTCGAACTTGTTTGCTGGATTCGACAAAAAAAATTTACTATTATTATTTTACTTTATAACAAGGCCGACGGTACCTTGAGAGCTTTTTTTTTTTTTAATTCTAAATATAGAGGACTTTTTTCAGAAACTTGACGATTGTGTCTCTCCAATTATAGAGACAATCAATTTTCTTAAAAAAAAAAAAAAAAAAGCCCTCAAGGTATCATCGGATTTCGAATTGACCAATTCGAAGCCTGTGCCGTCGGCAATGTATAATAGGGGTTCTGAACCACAATTTAGTATTTTATTGTGGTTTGTGCCAGTGATTTATGTTTGAAACTAGCACTTCCATAAGTTAGTGAATTTTAATCTAGTCTTCGACAACACCGCATTCTAGCTATTGCTTGGGTTATATAATATGCTAGGGTTTTTAGAGAGTTACTTTAAAAAAAGATTGCTTTCTTGAATGTTATGATTGCTACACACTACTTCCCTTTGGACAACTACTAATGTTTTGTAAAGTTCTATTTACACAATCATTAAAGATTGCAATTCACAAATAAGTATCTAAATGTTTTTATTGTTATTAAATGTGATTATGTTCTTCTAAATCCAAAAAATTAAACTAAAAGTGAAATAAAATCAAGATGTCTCCTAAAATAAGCAGCTGCTCAAAAATGGCATTAAGATCCCAATATAGAGATTATTTCTGAAGAGGATATTGTCAATGCTGTTCAAGATGTTAAGAGGTAAATTTAGCATTTTGAATGCCCTATTAGAGAATAATTTTATAACCAGTTTTTACTGTACGCAAGCAGATCTTATTGAGAAGCTCAATCCTAGGTCTCAAATTTTAACTAATAAATATTGCACTAATCTCATAGAATTCTGGGAGCAAGTGCAACTATAAGGTTGTTAGTTATTTTTACTTATTCATTGTTGTTAGTTATTTTTACTTATTATTTAAGCTTTTCTTTTTTAAAAATCAATAGCCATACAAACATTTAATTCATTTATATTTGTATATATCTTTTAAAATGTTTATTTGGATGCGACGACTCGGTCATCGATTGTTTTCATCTAGAATCATTGTGTTTTCCCACTAGGGAAAATGGTTTAATTATTTACAAAGAAAATAATCAGATAGCCAATAAGCAAAGAAGAAATGCACACAATTGATGAGACCTGTAGAAGGAAGAAGCCATGCAGAGGAATGAACTAGTAATGGATCCAGGATTTTTTGGTGTTCTAGATAGCTAACTTGGAGCAAACTCCAAACATTTTTATATTTATACTTATGTCAAATAAAGATACTTTGCAAAAAACTGCAATAATTGGAGGCTGGGAACAATTTTAACCCTTTAACTTCATTCCCCCTCCCCCTCTTTCCCAATAAAATTTACCTGCGTTACTCTAACGTCTAAAAATGCAGTTTCTCCTTTTCTCCAAAACCCTTTTGCTTTCAGATCCAGTCAAGCTTCGTTGCTTGCAAATTTTTTTCCACAAGCGCAGTAGGATGGTAAGTTAGCAAGTGGCACATTGTATCTCAATCTAAGTTCCGTATATTACTTTAACCTCCTCTTTCTTAATTTTTTTTAATTTATCCATGTATGTTGCCTTTTTTATTTCTAAAACCATTTTACTATAGTCATTTTTTTCTTTTATCAATTCTAACTGATCAAGTATTGATTCTTCGTGCAAATTGGTTATTTTCTTGAAGGCAGTATGTTATTCCTTGGCTTCAGTTAATAAATTTTAAATTCCAAGATCTCCCTCTGATGGATTTAGCGCCAATAACTCCCTGTTCTCCTTGATTATGGAACACTCAATACCAAATAACACTGGTAAAGTATTTTTTGGTAATAATTTTTCAATTGGTGTTACAAATTCTTTAAAGGTTTCAATCGTGGGTAAAAAGTATGTAAATTTAGATGCGTATCTTTTAATTAAAACTACATGAGCAGCTTGTGGTTGTAAATTAACAATTTCTCAGAGATTGTTAAGTTCGTTACATTTATTTACTAAATTCTCACAATACGATTTTTTGTATGCTTCCGAACCAAGAGCGGCTCCTAAATGCCTTTAAATCAAGCTTTTTCACCTTGATTATCTGATTTTATAATTAACCACCATTTTGACTTTTTTACATAATACCCATACAAAGTTCCATTATTCTCTAGGCATTTCCTCTATACCACATTTTTTAACGACTGCAGTTTTCCTGCTGCAGTAGCTTCGTTGGCTAACCACACCTGTTTTACTTCAGGGTCTACTAGTTTCAATGAATTTATGATTGTCACAGTGCTACGAGAGCACCATGACATAGCAAAGGGGTTGCCTGGTGTGGTTCCTTCTCTCGAAAAAATAGTTTCTTTGCTGTAGATGAATAGTTTTGCCGGTTTACGGTCAGTTTTGACTAAATGCATAGCTAAAAATGGACAAATTATCTGTGTATTATGTAGTGCAACGAAGCGGTTTAGACAGTTAAACGCGTTCTAGGCATCAATCAGCAAAACCTCATCTGTATCTTCTTGATGAAATATCTCTTGCATGGCATGTATTGTAGCTTCTGCTCCTGCACTGTGTCCTGCGCAGGTTTGTAGTGGCTTGCTAGCTGCTTCTTTTATTTCTTTTTGACAGTGTTGGCTTAGGGTTTTATCTACAATCCTTTGTAACACTACCTCTTCGATTAAATTCTATTTATTAATAACAATTATATTGAAAACAAAAAACATCAAATAAAATTCAAAACTTATAACATACAAAAGTTAAATATCTTTGCGTCAAATATAAGTTAACAAACCAAACATTTTTTCTGAAAACTTCAATTCAGTTAATTTTTCATTAAATTTTATTTTTTTTAAAATGTCGAATGTTACAAAAAGAAAGCTAACAAGTATAACTATAACATAAAAATACATAATACTATAAATTCGACAAAGGAGAATCGTGGTCAAAAGAAAAAAATACAATATATTCAGAAGTTAAAAAAAAATAAAAAATAAAAATTCAAATCTCCCTAAATGAAGATTTTGGATCCCGACATCAAAACATTCCTGAGTCATTCTGTGTCAATGTCTCAAAATCTCGATAAGTCGTGCATTTTCAGAAAGTCCGACATAACGAGAACTTCGTTGAAGTCGGACAAAGTATGTATACCTCTTTAGAATCCGAGTTAACAGATTTCTACATTAGTTTCGTATTCCCTAATAACGTTTTTTTTCTTTTTAATTGATAATTTATAATTTATTATAATCTTTATAATTTTTATAAGAAACATTATTGAAGAACTTTTGTTTTGCTCTTTTTATAAAAGTTATTCATTAATATTCATTATAAAATTCATTATAAAATTCATTAGTAATAATTCATTAATAATAATTCATTCATTAATAATAATTCATTATAATTCATTATAAAAGCTATTCATTTGATCTTGCTACCTGTTTAAATAGAGATTGATTGTTGGGTACAATGTTGCCTTACCTACCAATACTGCATATGCATCAAATCTTGGATCTTTTGATTCTGAATCCAGTGGTCTGACCCCTGCGCCAAGGCTTCTTAAACTTCCCTAGCTGCAATAATGGGTAATGTACAGCAATATATTTTTGCAAGTCGCACTATTTGGTGTATCTACTTTGCAAGTCACAATACTTACAAGTTATGTTATTACATCTAAATAGTTTAAAATAATAAACTAATTATTATTATATAATATTATATATTATAGTACTTTAATAAACTAAATAGTTTTTATTAAAAAACTAATATGATTAAGCATATGTTCTCACTAGTTACTTACAATACCTACTTTGTCATCACAAATTAAACCTCCGGATACAACATCACCAGCATGCTGAACTATTTATATGCAATAATCAATACAGGTACAAGGTTTGATAGTCTCATGAAAAATTGAATCTATTAACAATCCCAAATTGAGAGGAAACTTATTGAACATCGCGTTTAGTACGTAAGTAACAAACAATATAATATACGAGAAATTGTAGAAAAAAAAATTTATTTTCTTATCCTTATTCCTCAGGAAATGCTTCTTTTTTTTTAAATAGGATAAGAAAATAAATTTTTTTGTAACTAATCACCTGATTAAAAAGCATGACTTAAAACTTTGTAGTTGTTTTCAAATAAAATGGGGCGCTCCTTGGTGCAACGAGGCCCTAGGTACACGAGCTTCCTCTTCTCTCTTGATAACTCTTAATAACTACATTAGTCATTAAAACGTACCAATAAATTACTGCGTGAAAACTAACACGTTTATTAACGTGATTAGCACATACAATGTTACAATTATGTAACAAATTCACTTAATTCAAGTATGTTACAATTCACTTAATTCACAATAGTACCATAGATTTATACAGTAAATTTATAAAAACCTGAAAACATTTTTATTTCATGTATTTAGATATAATTCAGTAAACTCATAAAATCCTAAAAATTTTTTTGTCCATGTATAGGAAGCTCAAGTCAAAATAGAAAAATCTTACAAAAGTCAAAAATCATAAATCTCAAAAAATGAAGGTAAAAATTAAAAAAATCATTTATAATTGTCATTAATTTTTAATTTTGCTTTTTAAATTGATAATGATGTTTGACGTAATACAAAAAAAATAATAATCAATTTGATTTATATTATAAATAATACGTGGTGTAAAACACAATG